TCCAGTGCGGAGATGTAAAAGGATTATACAACAGCCCCACCTTGACAACTCCAGTCTTGGTGACAACTAAGATAAAATGAAGATGGTGGACTTGCTCCTTATTTTTCCTGATACACTGGCTAGGCACCGTCTGATCAAGGGACTCCTCTGCAATTCAACTGAGCTTCTGCATGAAGAACAGGCAGGCCTTGGTATAGTAAATTAGCAGCTTTGTTCTTTCACCAATTTGTATTATGCTATACCTTCTGCTTCAGCTGGCAAAGGGTGTTCTAGCCTTATGAATGTAAGAGGCTACAAGAAGAAATTTTAGTATCAGAATTTGCAAGTCAAATGTATAGAATACGTACTTCAGTTCAGGCCCGCAAACTAACATATATACTTAAGTAAAAGAAAATCTAAAAACATTTATCCTAGGTGCTAGCAGCTGTGGAGTGGAGCTCAGTGGTCAGATCATGTGCTTGGCATGCAATAGGCTGTGGGTTCAATCCCCAGTGTGCACACACACACACAGACAGAATTTCACACACACACACACACACACACACACACACACACATTCACTTTTCTATTAGAAACGTAATTGGGTTTTTTTGTTTGTTCGTTCTGAGACATGGTCTTGGCATAGAGTTCAGGCTGGCCTTGAACTCTTGTGGAGATCCTCTTGCTTCAGTCTCCCAAGTGCCAGCATTGAAGGCGTGAACCACCATGCACGGCTAAAAACATAATTGGCTTTTGCTTTATGCTAATGCAGCAGTTCCAAAATACAAAAAGTCCTGAAACCTTTTTTTGGTAAGCATGTAGTGGTAAAAGCTGGCTCAACAAACTTATTTGGCAATAAAACCTGTGAAGCTATTAAGCTATTTATAACCTTCACATATTTGACTTTTGTGAATGTTTTTAATGTTTCACTGAAAAAATATTTTGATTATGGGATGCTGTCCTCACACTCCCTGGGGATGTAATATAATATAGAATAAATGCATAATTAATTTTTTTCTAGTGCTTGAGACTGAACCAGAGGCTTCCTGTGTGTTCAGCAAGTGCTTTACTGCTGAGCTGCATCACCAGTTCAAATTGGAGCATCTGTGAATTCCGAAACACACACCACTAGGATTGGGATATGGTCTGACAGGACTGCATACAGTGCAACACATATGCGGAACATTCTGGGGGGGAGTTAGGATAAATTCAAACCACGCACATGAATTAAGTCTGATTTTCAGGGTTGGAATCTTAATTCTGTTACATATTAGCTGTCCACACATTAACTTTTCCCATCAGTAATATGAGTGTACCTGCCAGGAACCAGGTTCTGATGAATCAAAATGGAACGGGCAAAAAACCCACTTAGAACAACAGTTTGCAATTAGTAACGATTTAATACATGGCAGCCACAATTCTCCTGCTCATACTACTGTTGATGTTGAGGACACACACTGATTGTCATTTTCAACATTTTCTCTGGTACCGATACACATTTATTTTTCTACACAAAAATCAGAACTATGTTGCAAAATTTTTAACAAGCCTCCACTGGAATTTTGTTTTGGATTCATTTGGGGGAGCCAACATATTTAAATGTTCAATTTCATTCAAGGACATGAAACACAAGTCTGTTTTTTCTGAGGGGTATGTTTCCTACGCCTTAAAGCTCCTGCTAATGAAGCTAAATAACTATGAGAACACCTTCACTTATTCCAGGGACCCGGTAGACTGCATGTGTGTGCACCCCTCCCCCACATCAATCCTATGTCAAACCCCCAAACCCCATAGTGATCAGATTTGGAAGTTGGAGACAGGTATTTGGGTTATTTAGGGCTCCAATACTGGATTCCTACCTTTACAGGAAGACGCCAGAGAAACTATTCTTCACTCCCATAAAGGGGTTCCTGAGCAGAATTAGGCCCACAACCCAAGGGGACAGTGCTCACTGATAACTGGGACGCTGTACCCTCTGTCCTCCAGAAAGGCCGGCAAATACATTTCTGCTGTCAGCCACTGCCTTTAATACTGGGTTATGGCCATCTGAATGGACTGTCACAGTTACACATTTGGTACTTAGTGTGCCCTCAGACTCTGGGTTACCAGGTTTCACAATTTAATTACAGCAACCAAAACCGGAAGAATCCTAACCAGCTGATGTGGCCACAAAAGGGCTACTTTGTGAGGAGCACATTTTTTCTCCTAGGGGAAAAATAAGAGTTTCTAGTCACCATTTCTTCATCCAAAATGAAACTTTGGGGCTGGTGAGATGGCTTAGTGGTCTAAAGCACCTACTTAGAACAAGCTAAGCCAAGCAAGGCACAGGGACCGCAGTTCAATCCCCCAGCACCACATGCCAGCCAGCCCCGCCCCCTGGTGGGCTGAGCTGGCCACACACAAAAATAAATAAATAAATAAATATTAAAAAAAAAAAAAAACAAAAAACAAAATGAAACTTTGAACTCTGAGGTAAATTACACATAGCTTCACTATTTTATTGCACAGAAGAATGTCAATAAAATTATAGCTAGGGCTACGGGCATAGTGGTAGAGCTTTTTTGAGGCTCTGGGTTCATTTTTCAACATCTAAAACAAGTTATTGATATTTAGTAGTAAACTTTCTAGCCATTCCTCAGTTGTGGAAAACTTCAGTTTGTTAAATGCATCCATATGCCAAATTTTCTTAATCCTCAAAATAAATACAAATGAAGTATTTGTCTTATTGTCTTTTACGAATGGAGGACACTGAGATTTAGACAAGAGGATGCCTTCCAATAAGGAAGTACAGAATCAGAGCTGAACTTAAGCCTTTCCTGAGAGCGCAGTCAGCACCACGCCCTTAAGCTGAGCTTCCAGGTAGTGGGATCTCTTAGCACGATGGAACTTCCTGGCGGACTTCGCCATGCCTGGCTTAGCTCAGGCAGCTCCTGGTGCCTCAGAGTCAGCCCTGCACTGTGCTGGGAACCTGCTGATGCAGTGGCGCTGCCCTCCTGAGGGGCAAACCTCTCTCTAGCAGTGCCCCCGAGCTGGAGGCCTTCACTGGCCACCACAGGGCCTTCTCTCACCATCTAAAGTGTCTGCTTCCAGGATGCGTTGCCTTCTCTTACCCCCTTCTAACGAATCTGCCTTGCATACAGCCAAAGGAAGATGTGTGACTTGAGGCCAGGCCTAAGTGAGAAGCCAGGCCAACAACAGGAGACCCAGCAGCCTAGATTTATTCACTATCCTATTTTATCCTGATCCGAACCTTTCCGTGACCACAGGTCGTGAAACAACGTCCTCAATTTAATATAAGGCTTGTTCTCGATGAAACAGAAAGCAGCAAAACACTGTGGAAACAGCAGAACTTTACAAGGCAGTAAAAATGAAGATAATGCCACATTTAATTAAAAAAAAAACAGGCAAATTATATATCAAGTTATTTTTCTGAAAAGTCAAATGGCATTTATTTCTGACTGTCTTGACAGTGTACAGAGAAGATAAATCATGAGGTATATAACAGTGATTATTTGTCCTAGGAAATATTAATTGGTATTTTTTTTTTTTTTTTTTTTTTGTCTTTTTGAGACAGGGACTCATTATGCAGTTCTCAGACTCAGAGAAGAGAGTAGACTTTTCTTTCATTGAGTGTAAGTGAGAAGATGCTGTGGTACCTCACAATGCAGGGCTGCACGCTGGGAGTTGCTGCTTTCTAGCTTTGACACTGAGATTTAACCAAATCCAAGTTTTCACTTCCTCATTTGTAAATATGGAGATAATTCTTATATCATGGGATACCTGGAATAATCAAATAAAAGAGCATTGCATGGAGAAAGAAAAAAAAGCATTGAAAGCTCATAATACGTGAGGTATGGTAGCTACAAGTGAGACTTAAGAGCTCCTTTATGTCCGTGATCCTACCAAATTAAAATTTGAAATTAAATCATTAAAAATGTTTTGTTTAAATAATTCGTATTTCACTTCAAAAGAAACTCTCAATATCATTATAAAAGCCTTACTATTAGTATATATCAAAAATAGAGTAAATCAACAGTAAAAAATAAAAATTCTTTAACTATTTTCTTTCAAATGAATGTCATGTTTGCAGACCAATAATTCAAAATAAAAATTATCTATTTATTTCATATTTTTTTACAAAATACTTTCCAAACTGGATACTAATTAGCTATAAGTAAGAATAGTATTTAAAATTCAAGAGGGGAAATGTCTGGCGCATTGCTGTGTTTAAACCCTATTTTAAAGAGGTTAAATAATTTCACTCAGTTTTTAAAAAAACATCCCATAGATCAAACTTTCTTCAACAGAATTTTAATCCAAATCATTGTCCATTAAATTTGGGAGGCAAGAGATTAAATACATCAAAATATGATGATAGGACCTTTTGTTTTCCTGAAAATAAAATTCAATAAATCAAGAAAATTATTACTATTATAGATTAAAACCCTAAGATGTTAAAATTAGAAAATATCTAAGCATATAGTTAGTAAATTGTACATGTATCTTTTTAAAGTAAATTATACGTCAACCTTCTAAGAATAATCTTATTAAAATAGAAACATCACGAGTGTAATAAATATAAAAAAGTGTATTAAACACACACATATATATTAACACACAAAATTTAAGAAGGATCCAAATCTTCTGACTATAGGTGAAAAGACCCTGAGATGGTCATGCTTTTTAATTTGATCTTTTATAGGAATAAACTGGACATAATCAGACATATTTTTAATCATCTTGGTATATAGGTAGGTCAGAATTTATTTTCAGGGCACCACCATGTCTGGTTTTAGTAGCTTTTCATAGTTTCTTTTAGGAAGTTTAGTTATAAGAAAAATAATTATAGACTACTTTGATACTTGACACGTAAAAGTCTAGTTGGAACGCATATGGCA